GACTCACTCAGCCGGCTTCATCGAACTTCCAATGTACAGATTTGCTTAAATCCTAAGCTAGCCATATAATACTCAGAAGATCCAAATTGGACTCTCTACTTCAGATGCGGTATCTTTGACAAACTAAAGCAACTCACACACGGTGACAAAACAGTCAATTTCACAAACGCGCGGAAGAATGCAGACTTAAAACTGAAAAATTAACTAATGATGAAGCTCCCTCAAAGGCACAACCTTGGGCCTCTTTATTTCTAACTAACTCACTGAAATGTCACTCGCTCTGATGCGTGCTCCCAACAGGCGCCACGCCAGCCGACCCAGCAGTTACAACGTCCGGTGGGTTCTTATCTACTCCTATCCTACACAAAATGGTTGACAGTTCCAATTCGAAGTTCTACTTCATCTCCTTCAAACCGGAAATGAACAAATTGAGCTTCATATCTAACTGCCAATGCCTTGCTACTTTGCTGGCAGTCAATTTCTTCGCTCAACGCTCCACCTCCACTACGCGCTTGAATTCCCTCTCAAATTCTTTCAAATTTGAAGTCTAAAGGTTCACACAAACTCAAACTCAAAGCTCCAAATTAATAACTTCTTCAAATCGGCTCCGTTGAGGCTAAAATTTTGAAAGCATGTGCGCTCAGCTGAAGACAATAACCCCAACAAATTTTAGCTCCAGTTGACATTCCAGTGCAAAGATATAGCTGCCGCAAGATTCATGCTCTATGGCCGAAGGCCGAAGGCGCTACCGCGGAAGACTAAGTAACTTTGGCCGAAGTCCAAAGATCTTTGGCTGAAAACCCTTCTGCGCCTTTGCTTGTTCTTACCACCCACATCGACACTCATATCTCAGTGATCTCTTATCCGTTTCAACAGTTCTTTAGCTTGTTAGAACAAGCGTGCCAAGCTCTATCTATAAACAAGTCAAATTGTTATTAATTGAAACAATTATGAGGTATTTACTTTATCAGATCATAAGTCATCTAATTCAACTTTACAACCTACAAGTAAGAACAATAACTTCAAAAAGAGGAAGCGAAATGGATTCCAGTACTCCTAACTTGTTATCTACTACCAAATCCACTATTTACTCTACTTCGTAATATTCTTATCCTAAAAGTTTGAAATTACTAGTCTTCTATCTCTCAAACTTGTTGTTTCAAAAAAAAAAAACTACTTTATCACATGCTTCTCTCCTCAATTGTGAGCAATTCCGCGAACAATTCCAATTTTACTCTTTACCTGCCAAGGACACGGATCGCTGACATGACAGCTATAGACATGACAGCTAGTGTGCACTATAGTAACTATATAAACATTTTGAGTAAGCTCTACTTTAGTTCTAACAAACTAAAGATGATTACAAACCTTCTCCTTTTAAGACACAACGTCCTCGTTGCACATACGTTCAAATTTTTAAACTATCAACAATGCATTCGTTAGATTTTTAGCTGGTTCCCAAGGTCATTTATATGATAGATATCATTTTCATTGAGCTAAATACTCAACCTTGGGATACTTATGGCCTCAAATCCGTTTCTTGAGTATCTTTTTTACCTCAAATTCCTCTTGATCAACTATCAAGGTTGATAATGGAAATAACACTGGTTGGTTTGTGAATTTTTTGATTGTGATATATGTTTTTGCAATCGTGACATATGAAATACAAGATGTATTTTCATATGTGACGAAAAATCCAACTTGTATGACACTTCACCAACACGTTTCAATATCACAAAAGTATTGATGAATTTAGGATGAAACTTTGGTGTTCCTACAAGAGACAAATTTGTTGTAGATAGTCAAACCTGATCTTCAAGTTGAAAAACTAACTCCAAATAATGAGCATCAGCATGTTGTTTTTGTCAATTTTGAGCAATCAACAACTTCTCTTTTTCTTTGTGTAGTCCTTGGTGGATATGTTCCACAAACTTGTTGACCGCGGCTACTTTAGTTGAAAACTCCTCTCCTTTTGAAAACTTCATCAAACTCAATGGAATAATGGGCTGAGCACCGTACATGAGGTAAAATGAAGACAACTTTGTGGATGCATTTATAGATTTGTTGTATGCAAATTCCACAAGAGCCAAAAGAATATCCCACTCTTCTTGCTCCTCTAATGTGAATGTCCGTATCATATACTCTATAGTAGTATTGGTTTTCTGTGTTTATCCATTAGTCTGAGAATGATAAGCTATTGACATTGCTAATTTGAATTTGAAAAAACTAAACAAAATATTTTAAAACAAACCAGTGAAATGAGTACTTCTATCACTAATTAAGACTTTGCTTAATCCACTATTCATAAAGACATCATCTAAGTACAATTGAGCAAGTTGTAGAGCCGTCACTGTTTTTGTGGTTGGCCTGAATCATCTTGCTCAATTTGTCTACAAAACCCACCACTAAATCATTTACTAACAAAGTTTTTGATAACTTACATACAAGATCCATGATGACATATTCTCATTGTTCTTCAAAAATAGGAGGAGTTTGTAATCAACCAGTTGATTTTTTATGACTTGCCCTGTTTTGTTAACAAGCAACACAATTTCAAACGTAAAATTTCACATACTCTTGTAGTTTGGGCCAAAAATAAACTCGTTGGATGCTTTCCAAAGTCTTTTGCACTCTCACATAACCTACAATGGCTCTATTATGGTTTTTTTGATAATACCATTGTGCGTAATTTTTATCTTGCAAATACCACATATAAGTTGTTTGTAGAACGTCAAACTCTTGTCTTCTTTGCCCTTCCAGCTAAAAATTGTCCTATATTCTCTTCATCCTTCTTTGTGGCATGTGTCATCTTGCTCCACCAATCCGCTTGAATCTTCACTTCTGCAACATAATTCAAGACATGTGTAAGAGCATTCGCAAGTTGCTTCTTGCCCTCCACGTACACAATCTTCATGTTGAAGCGTTGACGCCACTCTACTTATCAAATTTATTGTTTGGACGAATCCTCTTGAGTTTCCAAATAAATCAAGGATTTATGATTGGTCTTCATCACAAACTCCTTATCACCCAAGTAATGTTTCCAATGTTTAATTGACAATACAATGACTAACTTTTTCCGTTCTGTTGTGTGATAATTTAGTTCCATCGCCACTAACTTTTGAAAATAGAAAGCAACTAGATTTCATCTATCCTTCCACTATTTTTGAAATATGCCACCTATTTTTGTACCTGATGCGATAGTAGCCAACTTGATAGGACGTTTAGTGTAATCTATTCATAGTGAACGAAACAATCGCAATTGCTCAACGAATTTTGAGTGCTTATGATGTCACACACGGTGAAACAACAAGCAATTTTTTTGATTCATCAGACTCAACAGCGATGGAGTTGGAAAACCTTTGACGTAAAGAAGTTTTTGCACTAGCAAGAGTTCCAATCCCAAAATTTATGAGTGAGATTCAGTGACCAGTATATCCAAATTTGCAAGAAAGTTAAGCAAATGATGGGATGGTTCAAGGAGAAACAGGAGTTTGTGACAATCGTCAATGCTATGCATGTGAACAAATGGTATACATTGCCAAGTTTTGCCAAATTTGAGCGGCACCACAAAAAAGATGGCACATACAGCGACAATATTTTAACAAAATGGTGAGGATAGAGTTAGAAGAGGTTGAAAAAGAAGTTTTGGGAAACAAAGATCGTAAGTAAACTTGCCTCGCGGCCTTAATGGTTCTACAAAGCAAAGAAAAGTCAAGACTAGAAGAAGACAATAGTTAGGAGCTCAAGAAAGGAGTAAGAGGCAAGCTATAAAAATAAAATTAGATCTCATAATATAAATTAATTCCTTTTTATGATATATACAACATCCAATTCTAAAGATGATGTATGTTTCCTTGGAATTATAAAAAATATTGGGTCCATATATAAACTTTACGACTCGGAGTCCGTGAACATTTTATTGAGTATAAAGATGTTTTTTCAGATGATCTACCTGTAGTATTACCACTAAAGAGTCAAGTAGATCACAAGATCGAGGTGACACTTGGAAGTATACCAACTTGCAAAGCTTCATATTGTTTGGCTCCAAAAAATTTGGAAGAATGCAAAGCTCAATTGAACGAGATATTGAAGAAAGGATTCATTCAACCAAGTGTCTCATTCAAGGTTATCCACAAATTATATTATTCAAAATTTATGTTTTATTTTTGAGTGAAATTCGCTTTAAAATCTAATGTTACTTTTGTAGAGTAATTATTCCAATCAATCATACATCTGGAACTTTAATTATTAACATGATATTTATATCACTAAAATTAAATTGAAAAATATTTTAAATAATTCATACAAAGCTATGTAATAAAAATTCAATTAGAATATAAATTTTTTTTCATATTTTAGAATATTTTATTTGATCGTTTAATTCATGAAAAAAAATATCTAATGAAAATTTCATATTTCCAAATATCTTTGTCTTGTGTTAATTACAATATTTTTTAAATTATTACATATAAAAATCTTTTATATGAAGATCATAACTCCTGAAAATAATTAAAATGCATTTTATTCATCAAATCATATACACATGTATTTGTTGTTTTTTTTATTTTTACAAATTTTATTTCATGAATTAGTTAGATTTGTGATTTAAAATCTGCTGAAGATTTCTCAATGAATATTTTCATTTATGATTTAAATTTAGAAAATATTTCATGAATTTATCAAAATCTTTTCATGATTATTAATGATTTTATTTAAATTTTTAGAACATTTTTAAGATTATAGAAGATATTTCTAGAATTTGTAATGATATATTTTTCAATTTTCAATGTATTCAAATTAATCAAATTCAAAAATTTGTGTGATAAGATTACGGGTTCTTACGATTATATCACAACGATAACATAACATCTATATTATGTTATCATCGTGATATAATCGTTAGAACCCGTACATAACATCTATATTTACTGACTTTACGTTTGCGGGTTAACTTGCGTTTTGGATTCAAAGTTGATGAAACTTCATAGGATATAAACAAGGTTCTTTCGAGTTGCACTGTCAGTCCAAACATTGAGAAAGTGTCGAGAAATTTGCTCTACAAATTAGATACTCTTGCAGATGATATCGCTATAAGGAGTTGATAATCTTCTGCGCGATTGGACGAAATCAAGTGAGTTGAAATGGAGATTCGTTTTTCATGAAGCATGTGTGGTGTTCCGATTATAAATCTTCTTGAGTCTTGTGAATGTTAATGCGATGCAATGTCTTTGCTGCTGCAGCAATTCTGCAGCAATTCAGCTAAGTTACTTGGAGAATCCAGTAGGTGCGCCCAAACCTTCGGAGCAGTTCAAATCCACCGTATGCACATATCCTGTACCCGCTCAAATGGTTCTCATCACTTACAATGTACAATTCATTGCTTTATCCAACAGAGAGAGTTCTTCCCTATCACTCACCATGTTCGATTCATCCCTTTTTCGGGTAGAGAGAGTTGTTCCCTATCACTTACAATGTCCAATTTCTCAATTCTTCAGTTACCAAGAGTTGTTCGATTCTCTTACCATGTCCGATTTATCAATATTCTTCTGTTACGAGACTTGTTCCCGATAGATGCTTTGTTTTTGCTACAGCTATTCCCAGAATACGCTCGTGCCGGTCAAAATATGTAGTTACAGAAGATATCTTCTACTAATTGTGATATATATAGCTCTTATGGTCTGAGATTGTTGTGTGACTTATCAGGTGAAGCTGCGCTGAAGACCGTCTTAATCCAGCTCTTTGGTCAATTGTTAAAGTCTTCTGTAGTACCCGGTGTGAAGTCGCAGCTGAGATTGTTGTGTGACTTATCAAGTGAAGCTGCGCTGAAGAACAGTCTTAATCCAGCTGTTTGGTGAACTACAGTCACCCTTGAAGTCTTTTGTAGTACCCGATGTGAAGTTGCAACTCAAAATATCTCTGCGCACTTTTATGCAAGGAACTGCAAAGGGACCTGTGTTAATCAGTGAGCTTCCAGTTACGCTACTTTTGATACTTACTTGCTTGAGCAAGCACGTTCGGTGTTCTTGGTCCGAGGATTTTTACGATTTTATTCGTCATCCGAATCGACCTCGTACGAATCCACATGATGGACATGAAGGCGAAAGCAGCTCTGCAGCTCTTGATCCTGATAATGCTGTTCATGGGGACGCTCCACTCCCACATCCACATGGTCCAGGCTGTTCGCAGTCCACCTTCCGACTTTGAGGACCAGCCACCCACCGTAGTGTTTCCTCGCACCGCGATCATGAATGAGAGAGGCAACCGTGATGTTGAGGCTGGATCGGAGGCTGCTGATTTGCCACAACCTTTTCCTATTCATGTCCACGGGACTTCATGGCGTATCCAGAAAGGTGGAATTCCATCGAGTCCGAGCTCCATGCAGCACGGAACCCTGCCCTGAACGTGGCAGTTCCATGCTGCTGTCTCCCCTTTGGATGTTTCCATTGTGCTTGTGATTTGCAGTCGTGAAGCATGGTGTCTTGGACAGTACACGGTACGTCGATGGACGAGTCAGTGAAAGTTTCCGTCGGGATCTGCGTTACAGCCGATTTGCAACAGCAAGCATACTGCCCAGTTGGATGTTCAAATCTGCCGCCAAGCTCAAGGATTACACGTCCGACGGGGCCTGGCTCGACGGACGGACGAGGCATCCTCCAAGCTGCTAAGAATGAGATTTGTCAACTCCCGCCAGTACAAGCTGACAGGCCCAGTTGCAGCTGCAGACCAAGATTGGAAGGGCTGCCTGCTGCTCAGCGTCTACAAGTCGGAAGACACGTTCATTCGATTCTCTAATTCTGATTCTCACCTGTACGGACCTAATTCTAATCGCGTTTCGTCCTGCATGGAGTGGACAGGATTGGAAGTCATGATCCATGATACTCACGTACATGATAGCAGTTGAAATTAACTTTGTACGGAAGGACTTCGATTGGTCAAGCCCTAAAGTCACACTCCTATCCATTCTGCTTTGCTGCTTACCTTCGACATAATGTCAATTTTGTCTTGGCTTAGAAGCAGTGGAAGCAAGGGTGGGAGAGGCTTCCACAGTTTCAATCGATGCTGCTCTCTTGTTGTGCTGCTCTGATGACCGCATTGGGAGCTGTTCCATTGTTCTTAGTTAGATCTTCCCGGCAGCGAATTATCCTGCTTCTTTTACCTCTCTAGTTTTGCTGACATCCAAGAATCTACCAAACTCAGATACACAATACATGACTCGCACTCCTAGGGTATAATTTGAGACGAGATCACAACTGTCTTTCCACAAGCTTAAGTAAACAAGAATTATTTATTTATTTATTTAAGTTATTAAAGTTTTTTTACTTCTTTGTTTCTTTTTTTTTATTTGAACTTATTTCTTCTTATACCTTAAACATCTGATTTCTAGTCTTGGCGACTTGTTTTCTAATTTTTGCTTTACTTCGTTGCAATCTTAAGCTTTTTTCTTCACTTATTCTTACAACTTGAGAATGAATGGTTTCTAGAATTCTCAAAAACTAAACAAGACTCCAGACTAAAAATTTCTTTTATCCAGAATCTTTGTTCGATATCATTCTATGTGAGATGACTTAATCTTTCACAAAGCATTAAGAAGTAATTTGGAAATACGCAAGTTTTAGATACATAAAGATAATATTTGCATTAAAATAAAAATTTCAAAAAAAACATGGCAATTGAAACCAAATTACATATTTAATCATATCCAGCACATGAATTTTTTTAACATATTTCTATATTCGCTAGATTCTCCATCTGATTCATTTCACTTTACAATTACAAAATATAATTTGAGAAAATTTGAAAAGGGGAAAAGAATACGATTAATCTAAGACTGTCCAATAAATATAAAAACCAAAATACTTATTTGTAAGAAAATTTTTGACGTCATCAAACATTATCTCAAATAAACAAATGAAAGGAGTTGAAGTTTTTTTAACTCAATTTTTATTAATGACAAATCTCTTATTTTTCAAATATTTGATTCGATTTTGTAAAAAATATCACTAAACTTAATATAGATCAAGAAATGAAAATCGATTTATGATTAGTATTTTAGTACTTCACTCACATGAAAAAAGTTATGCATGCTTGCATCTATCCAGAAAAAACAATGACCAAAAAAATTAACTATTCTAAACAAAATTTCATCAATATTAAATTTTTTTGGTAAAATTTTATAATTTTAATTTATTTAATATATTTTATGAAATAAAAAACATTTCAAATTTTTATATTTTTTATTAAATAAATGTATTTTAAAAAGTTTCCAAGTAATAAAAAAATGTGAGTAGATTAAGAATTCAATCCCGTTGAGGTTAACTCGTGTTTCAGGTTAACATCTAGCTAGATGAGTTTAGCTAGCCACCGCCTGACTTGGGGTACTTAACCCTGGAGATTTCACAGTATTTTCTTTCTTCTCATCATGTGTACATACGTGCACAGTTTTTCACTGGCCGTGAACGTAGCATTTAGAGGATGAGCTACATTACATCCCGTGGACGTAGCCTTCAAGAGGGTAAAATCATCAGGATTTTCTACACTAGTGGTGGTGCTCTCAATGTGCAAGCTTCTGTTTGTGAAGTCCATTTGGCTCTGTTGTTGCAAATGGAAGATATCAATTCTTCTCTAGAATTTGCTAAAGACTAGGAGGAAAATCACATTCGTAGCCAAAAGATCTTTGGAAGTGAGATAAAACAAACTTCTTATGTATCCAAGTCTTCTTCATGGTTCACAAAGGGATTCTTAGTCTCATAGACAGTAGGTTTTAGAGTATAACACGGTGATACTTCACTTCTCATTTGATATATTCTGGAGAGGGAATGAAGTATCGCAATAATTTCAGGATGGTATCTGATGAAGATGCAGAAAGCTTATAGAGTAGTGGGAGAAATTCATTTTGGTTTGCTTGCTATGAAGAATTATTCTTTCGCCTATTTTCTATTTCTCACTTTGGCACGACAAGAATCCGCAGTGAATACTATTGTTATGAACTTATAGCAAGGAGAATAGTTTGTTCAGCTCTAAAACCATTTGGTATTCCTCTTGCTTGCTCGCGGTTTACAAGAAGGTATCCGGAACACACTCTAATCCCCTAACTTAAGTTCAACATTTTGTTCTTCAAATTCCTTGTATTTCAATCATTCATCTTGATGCGCATGGTATATCTTCCGCTTCACATTTGTTTGCAGTTTGTACGAGTACTGCATAAGAAAATTTAAGCACAAATGTGCTGGAGGTTTGACGGTTTGACATGGATTTTGAAACCTGGTGAGTTCTCTATTCAAAATCTTAATACAAACCTACATATGAATTCGAAATTGTCCTATAAGAAATAAGACGTGTCTTCAGCGCGGCTTCACCTGATAAGTCACACAACAATCTCGGACCATAAAAGCGATATATATCACAATTAGTAGAAGATATTTTTTGTAACTACATATTTTGATCGGCATGAGCGTTTTTTGGGAATAGCTTTGGCAAAAACAAAGCATCTATCGGGAACAAGTCTCGTAATAGAAGAACATTGATAAATCGCACATGGTAAGAGAATGAAACAACTCTCTCTAACTGAAGAATTGATAAATTGCACATTGTAAGTGATAGGGTATAACTCTCTCTACTCGATAAAACGATGAATCTGACATTGTAAGTGATAGGGAACAATTCTCTCTACCAGGTTAAGCGATGAATCAGACATTGTAAGTGATAGGGAACAACTCCCTCTACCGGATAAAGCTATGAATCGGACATTGTAAGTGATGAGAACCATTTGAGCAAGTGCATGATATGTGCATATGATGGATGCGTGAACTACTCCAAAGGTTTGGGCGCACCTATTGGATTCTCCAAGTAGCTTAGCTGAATTGCTACCGCAGCAGATACATTGCATCGCATTAGCATTCACAATCTTGTGAAATAGTTCCTATCGATCTCAAGATCATCAATCTTGTCTTGCTAGAGCTGATTTGTATTTTAGCTACATTCTGCTATATTGATCCGAGATAAATGTACAGTTAATTTGATATTTGCAAAATGTGCAATATCTTGGATGTAGTTGAATTCTACCATGAATCACAATGATTGAAGAAATAGATTCATAGTTCGGGAATTGGTTAAAGGAGTCAGGTAGTGCAAAAGTCAACAAGTGAGTAGGTTGATGGCTGGATGACGATTCGATGCATGGAAAATAATCTACATATGTCGATGTGCATCTATATGTGTTTTCAAAGATCTTGGAGATGTTGATGTGCAAAGCATTGGGATTTCAATTTTTAGTTGAAATTTGACAAATCTAGGCAGTGAGAAATCCGAGGCAAAATCAGCAAATCCCAAGAAAGTTGTGTGGACGGCTAGAGTGCAAACCAATCGCATGTAGGTGACAAAACTCAATCTCATTGACAAGTCAAAAGCACATGCGGCAATCAAGTCAAGCGTGCATTAAAGGCGAGACTCGACAAATAATTTGAAAAACAAACAAATTTTAATAAATTTTGTGATCAGTATCGAGATATTGACAAACAAATTGCGATTGAGCGCGAACGGCAACAGTTGGGCAACGCAAACAAGCATGCGTTGGAAGTGAGCAGCTGTGCACATGCGTGACGGAAACACATCGTGCGGAAAACAAGTGCATTGCGTGCAATAGCTTCCGTTGACTTGGCGGAACACTTGTCGTCCTCTGCGGATGACACTTCAAACTTCCATCGAACGTCAAGTCATCATATAGCAGGCGTCACTCAATCCTTTTGAAGTCACATCAATGTAGGTAGTGATACGTCATCACACCAATTGTCACGTCAATTCCATAGAGGCTTGAGATTTTGAAACGTTGCGACGTGACATGACGCAGACGTTTTGACGCTTGAGGCATCGACATTTGGTTGACACGTGGCACGCATTGGACGCGTAGTGCACTGAGGTTGAATGTTGAGTTGACACGTGACAAAGCTGCACGACGTCACAAAATTGTGGGTAACATACCACATATGGAGAGGTATTCAAACCTACGAAGATTTATCTTAGTTAAAGTAAGTTGGAAGATAATTACCACATGTTACTATGGTAATTTTTCAAGTAGTATAAATAGAGAGGTAGAGAAGAGCGTTTTGGTTGAACTTGAACAGCTTGAATTTGAGGTTCATCTTCCATTTCTTCAACTTTCAACTTGCAATCTTGTCATGCATCAACTCAGTATTCAAGTCAACAAAAGTTTTCGCTCACAGTGCACTCCTTTTCCAAGCGGTGTGTGTGTGACATGCATGTGCATGTGGTATGCCAGTTTTTTTATTTATCCGGAAATGAAGTAGTAGGATGGGAAATCCACGCTGTTTTTAACTTTTAGAGTAGAAGTAATTAGATTAGAATAGAATAGGTCTTTTACGATGGAGATGAGGTAGTAGTAGTAACCTTGAGGGAACCTCAGCAGACGCGTCGGCCTTCATAGGCTAGTGAGGTCATAACCCGGAGGAACAGAACGGGAAGTAGGAAGACCTAGTACCTTTGAGTACCGAGGAGGGTATTCAGGAGAGGATATTCGGCATTCGCGAATAAGGATCTCAGAGCTTCGCGGTTACATGAACAGTGAAGGACACCTACGTGCCACACGGAAAAGAATTTTGAATGACATCACCTTCAATTCACACGAATGGGAAACTGTTGCGACGGCGGAGTATACCCGAGAAGTTGAGAGCTTGATGCCCACATTTCACGACCTACATTGTGCAATCGACGCGTGATTGAAGCGCGGGGGCTAGAACGAGAGAAAATAGCAATGGCGCGACCGATCAAATTGCACGCTTTGCGAGTGCCCGAAGTAGAACTATGAGCTTATCGGCGTGATTTGATTCTCACGAAGAAGGACTTCCTATTGTGGGGTTGGAATTGGACGAGCAAGGTGATAGTACAGGAGTGGGATAACAATGGGTTGTCGAAGCCGCCGGGCTATCGAAGCAATCCCAATACCTGGCAAATCTAGGATTGGAAGAAGATCCTTGATCGGTGCGCGGGTGACGACGGTGATCTTACGTTTGACAACGACAATGTCCGTGTGACGAGAGAGGAAGAAAGGGTTTATGTTGCTCATTTCAAACACCCTCGCACCGGGAAGAATGATTATCGCACCGTGTGGTATCACGATCGATTGAGGCGGAATGTCGCGATGGCGTTGATGCAGATTCTTCGTCCGTCTCGACCTACTTACATGATGACTTGGCAGGTGGAGTTTGTGGAGAGAGCCTTGAGAAGAGATCGTATCTATTGGGCGCGT